GCAGGAAGCAGCCATGGCTAAACTCGCAGCGTCTGAAGCCGCCACCTTCTGCGCTCATCAGGTAAAAAGCAATCCAAACGGAGGGTTAAAACCACAGAACACCTCCCTAAAGGTTCTTTAAATATCCCGTGTGTGTTTCACTTGACTTCCAGGCGATCCAGGTGTTGGGGGGGATGGGCTACGTGACGGACATGCCGGCGGAGAGGCATTATCGAGACGCTCGCATCACGGAGATCTACGAGGGAACCAGTGAGATCCAGAGACTGGTGATAGCCGGACTAATCTTGAAGGAGTACCAGTGACACGCAACCGAAAAACTGACAATAAATCACAGATCTGGAGTCAGATGAGTCGACCTGGAGACATTACCTCATACGTAAAGATAGGAGAATGTGAGCTGAGCTGCAGGTTTTATATGTTTGTATCAAAACACTATTGAATGCCGACGTTCAGAGGAGATTCAGATGATTTTACGTGTCAATTAACCCCCATTTTTTCACGTTTCGTGAGAATTAAAGCACTTATTTTTGACTGTAAGCTCAAAAACGTCACTTTTTCTTTGCTGATTTAGGAGTCAGTTCACTTCAAAAATCACAAATCTGCTTAGAAATAAAAAAAGAACTCTTATAACTGCGTGAATATTTGGGTTTTAAAGTTAGCTAAAAAATGTCCGACTTTCCTTAGCGTCTTTTAATGCATCGCCACATTTAAGGATCAGTTCATTCACTAATACTTTCTTTCATGCCATGCAGACGGTTTTAGTTTCGTATGTTATTTGTCTCCTTTTCAACAATTAATTTCTAAATATTCTGCTTTTTAATACAGTAATAATGAGATAAATTCAACAAGAATCAAGGGTTTCAAAAATATACAATCACAAATCTGCTTAGTAATAAAAACAACTCTTATAACTGCCTGATTATTCTGGTTTTAAAGTTTCCTTTTTCATGCAAACCGAAGCTGCTAATGGATCATCTGGCCTACTTTTGAGAGACTTTCCATGAAATGTCTACAAATATAGTCCAGAACAACATTAAATAACAGTTTATTATCATTAGAATTTGATAAATAGACACAAGATTAATTGTATTCAAGGTTTTGTGTGAACTGACCCTTAAAATAATCACTTCCGGTGACAGCCAGCAGGGGGCGCTGCAGTGCCTTCATGATTCTTTGACTCACTTTCATCAGTTTCCGCAAAATAATCACTTTTTTTTCCAGATTGAAAACATTTGTTGACTTTAGTTTTACTAATTTAATATCATGAATGTCAGTTAGAGATAATACTTGAATGATTGTGGTGAATAAAGCCTGATAATTGAAGCCTTTTAGGGGATACATCTGTTATGAAATACAGTTTGTCTGCTTGTGTTTGGTTATTTTCACTGTGCCTCAATAACTTGTACATATTATAATGTATTTATGATGTGTGGATGATAATAAAAAACACAATTACAGGATTTAAAGGAGGGACATTACTGTTTTTACTGCAGCAGAAAACAAATAAAGCAACATTTCCAGTCGATTTCAGCAACATTTTGATCATTTTTAACAACTTTAAGTGCTTTTTGATCAGTTTATCAATAAAACTGATGATGAAAAAGACTTGCAAAAATAGCAAAATAAATGTCTTATATTTCATCCTTTAGATTTATCTTTAATGTGTTCATTTTGTTTGCTTTTCACCTCCTAGAATATGACGTTTTTCTGTCTTTTTAACCCAAATTTCCTGCAGGTTTTTCACAGTTTCTTCTTATTTATTTTTCCACAAAATGATATTCAAGCCAAGTTATTGGTAGTTAATATAGTTAGTTACTTGCAACCACTCACTCTGCATGCTTAGATAATTTAAAGGCTTGTGTGTCTCTGTGTGTGTGTGAGAGTTTTCTGTGTGAGTACTTATTCTTCTTGTTTACTGATTGCTTCCTGTCTGTGGAGCTGCTGATTGTGCAGAAAGTCATTGTTCAGACTGACCTCGTCTGCTGTGTGTGTGTGTGTGTGTGTGTGTGTGTGTGTGTGTGTGTGTGTGTGTGTGTGTGTGTGTGTGTGTGTGTGTGTGTGTGTGTGTGTGTGTGTGTGTGTGTGTGTGTGTGTGTGTGTGTGTGTGTGTGTGTGTGTGTGTGTGTGTGTGTGTGTGTGGTGTGTGTGTGTGTGTGTTATCCTGACGTTGTTTTCTGGCTCTTGTTTGCTTCCCTTATTTCACAAACAAGAGCGCGTGCGAGAGCAGAACATGTGCTTCTGCTGCTGATTGGCTGTTTCCTCGTTATAATTTGGTGCTTTTTTTTTTTATATGAAAGCCCTGACATGCAAGTGATCTTGCAGCTGAAGTCTAATCCTGTTTTCTTTCCAGTGTTTATGACTTAAAGGTCCCATGTCATGGCCATTTCTACTGATCATAGTTCCATTGTTGAGGTCTACTAGAATAGATTTACATTGTTCAATGTTCCAAACTCACATTGGTTTCTCATACAGCATCTCTGTATAGCAGCGGTTTTCAAAGTGTGAGGCGCGCCTCCCCTGGGGGGCGCCAGAGAGCTTCAGGGGAGGCGCAGCGTGAGAAAAAATAATAACGAGAAAAAGACGAGTAAAGTGACATTTGCACACTTTTGCCTGTCTGTGGAGACCGAGTTCCCCCACCTCGCCAAAAAGGCTGTTAAAGTGCTCACTCCCTTCACCTCCACCTACCTGTGTGAGTGCGGGTTTTCCGCATTGACTCTGATCAAAGGAAGTGCCGGTCAAGGCTGCAGCCAGAGGATGATCTGCGTTTATTCCTGTGTGCATCAAAGACGCAGACTCATTGTTCCCACTAAAGTAGGGGTGAGTGTAATAAGGAGATAAAGTTGACGTTCAGTGTGTTGCCGGGAGCATATAAGGATGTATCCACGATGTTGAAAATGTTAAAAATGTTTAAAAAGATATGTGTTGAGAACACGGCGTGCGAAAATATACGGGTCGTGCTGCAGCTAGATGTGCCTGTCCTCTGTAAGAAGGTGTCGGCGACTGACATGCAAGGAAGAACGGCTGTCCACAGGCTGTTCCAACTTTAACAACTTTATTAACTTCCAGGGTAGTGAATTGAACATGCTATTGTAATTGGGTGTGTGGTATATTTTCATGCACGGACACGCATGTTCCACAACACACAAACTGAACAACACTCAATTGTACGATCGCTACCAGTGTCCTTGCGATCTTGTTATAACAAGTCAACAAGTGCACGTTATTACTGATGCAATATGGTTGAGACCATTCGGGCTTATTCTAGAGGGGTGCAAGGAATAGTCCAAGTAGTGGAGGAGTTTTATACAATATGTTTAAAACATAAAGATAAAAAGGTTTTAAAAAGTGATTGTTTAATGTTTTAAGGAGGTGACGCTACTCAGCCAATCAAATCGGTGCAGTCAGTGAGTCAGCACAATAGATTCAAACACTCACAGAGACGAGACAAGAGGAGAGAAACAGTCGGAATAATTTCAAATGGCGGAAGGTAGACAGCGAAAACAGAGCATTTAATGACATGTTCTCTTACTGGACCTCTTTGAAATGCAATGTAATAACAACAATAATAATAATAATAATAATAGCAATAATAATTGGGAGGGGGGGCGCGGCTGTTCATATGTTCTCTGAGGGGAGGCTCACCTTCCCACACTTTGAAAACCCCTGCTGTATAGCATGTGTATTCACTCTCTGTCCTAAACGGCTTGTTGGAGCTCCTGCCCCCCCCCCCCCCCCCCTTGAATTCAGATATCGGTGCTTATTTTATGGAAGCCCTGAAATGTAAGTTACATTTTTCAAGTCTGATTTAAATAGTGTCCTATGTTTATGACTTCAGAAAACGGGTAAATGTAGAGTATATTTTGCCAGGATAACAGGCCTGGGCATTTTTCATATAATTGAGAACTATTGTGTAAAACTGACCGAACAGTTCTGAGTCCATATAAATACATATTAAATATACAGGTTTTTTATGGCATTAAATGTAAAGTGAGTTAACATCAATGTAGACGTCTCTGTTGTGAGCCTAGAGCACATGTGTCAAACTCAAGGCCCGGGGGCCAAATCAGGCCCTTGGTGGATTTAATTTCGGCCCACAGGATCATTTCTAATGACTATTAGATCTGGCCCGCCGGTATATTGCACGCACACCTTCACTCCATCCTGAGGGTCTCCTCAGCTCAGAGCCTGACCCCAAACATTGATGAGCTTGCACCCAAGATGAGATGCCAAGTATCTGAGCTAGCATCACAGAGCAGCACACTGAGTTTACATGGATGTTTCCTTCTGCACTTCTCTCACGACAACAGAGCATGTTTGGTTTGTTCTTTGAGGGAAATTGTTTTTTGAAGCTGTTGTTGGCCTGTGGGAAAATGTACTCATAAGAAATGACTCTGGAGAAGCTGCAGATTGAGCCATAAGAAATGAATGCAACTGATTATTTAATGTTTAATGTTGTTTTTATAGGCAATCATTTAAGCTTTGTTAGTTCCAGGTTTAATATGTGCAATAAGTTCATTTCAATAAGTTCTGCAATAAACATTGAACCAGTCCGGCCCTCGACTAGTACCCATTTTATAATGTTGGCCCACTGTGTATTTGAGTTTGACCCCCCCTGCTCTAAAGGGTTTCCTTATGATTCTATTGAAAGTCCAAATGATCATAATGATTTAAAACCTGCCTAACTCCAAAGTCCTTTCAAAAAGAAATAGCAAAAAAATACTTTGACTTTTTTAAATATTTTTGCATGAATACGCATGTGCAGCCTCGAAATTAGCCTCGAAGTACGCCGGCCTCGGTAGAATTCCAAGCATGCTGGACATTGGAACAGTCCTTTGGGGGGACTCGATGACGTAGCATCCTTGAAATAGTGGCTCTGGAGCATCCTTCCTCGACATTGAGAAACACCCTCTGTCTACACTACCTGGCAAAGTCAACCATTGCATCTATAAGTAATTGCATATTTATATATCAGATAAACCCAGCATTAAAGAAACAAGTACAGACACTATTTAGCGTTTTTCATTTATTAAAAAAAAGTATGTTTTATTAAAAATACTTGAGCAAACAGGAAGTAGAAACACTGCACATGTATTTAAAAGTGAATCCCCCTTTAATCACAACATCTCACCGCCTGCTGCTCACTGTGGGAACCAGGAGGTAAACGAGTCCACTGGGAGGTGAGGGGGGGGGGTCACACACACACACACACACACACACACACACACACACACACTGATCCAAGGCTTACAGATGAACTCTTTAAGCCTCTCGTTAAGCACTGATTGATTGCAGAGTCCTTGTGTTGAAGCCTTAATGAACTCCTGAGTACATCAGTGAGCTCGTTAAGTCTTAACGAGCTGCAGATTTAACATCATTCTTAAACTTTCACAACAGATGTGTGTCTCGAAACAAGTCGCCAAAATACAAAAAACACACTCCCCATTGAAGACAGGACAGCAGACTGAAAACCAACATGTTTACAATTAAAATATGAAATAAATTCAGATTATTGCACTTGGAAAAGTCATCTCTATCAGCGTCATTACGGTAAAAAGAAAATATAGAGAAATAACCTCGGGACACATTTTTAGTTGCAGTTTTATCCCTTTGAGTTTCTTCTCAATCAAACCTGGTTCATTTCCACCAGTTTCATCACTTTGAAAATGAATAAAAAATAACATTTTTAGTCGCATTTTCACCAGACATCATTTCAAACATTGAGCAAAGATCCAGGTCGGCTTCAAAGAAGTCCCCCAAAAATAAAAGTGAGTTTCTACGAAGCATTTCTTGTTGAAAACACCCAAACAAGAAGCTTCTTTTTCAGCTTCAATCCTGTGAACAAAGGAATTAAAAGTAACGGTTTTTTTTTAGGTTGACTTACAGAAGCTGTCCAGGGACCACAGAGGACACATGGCCTCTTGGCTAGTTCTGTCCCATTTACAGGAATGTTGATTAATGTGCGCTGTCCCTGTTAAATACATGAATATAAAAAACTACAACCTTAATAAACTTTAACAGAAGTTTTGGCAACGCTCCAGCTCTGCTACAAAATAATAAAAAGTCTCTTTTGTACATAATGCTTCTTCGTTGAGCTGAAGGTAAAAACTCTGGCACTATTGTATTTGTTTCATGTCCTATGTGTTGCTCTGTTGGAGGAGCCTGTGACGGTGACTTCAGATGTTCATTAACATATCTTCACTGAATCTAATGAGACAATAAAGCCTTGAAACTTGAATCTTGAAACTGGAGGAAACGTCTCAGTGTCTAGCTTCACCCGTTAGCTTCACCCGTTAGCTTCACCCGTTAGCTTCACCCGTTAGCTTCACCCGTTAGCTTCGTCTCGCTCAAACAGTCCCCTGAAAGTTCCTCATCCTAGACAAAGAAGTCTAGGATTCCTACAAAGCATTCCTTATCAAAAACACCCAAACAAGAAGCTTCTCTATCAGCTTCCACCCTGGTGAAAAAAGGAATTAAAGTAAGCGTGTTCGGTTGCAGTAGACACTACAACCGTTATACACTTTAACAGAAGTGTTGGCAACGCTCCAGCTCGTATTCAATATGCTCCTTAGATAACTTTTCATTTTATTGTATGTTCTCCTCGTAGCAAAGCACCTTGAGATGACGTTGTTTTTAAAGAGTGCTATATAATATAAATGAAATGTATTATTATTACTTCTTAGTTGCAGTTTTAGCAGAAGCTATTTCACCCGTTAGCTTCACCTCCGCTCCAAAAGTCCCCTAAAGTTAAAAACGTTTGCACTATTTCATCTGTTTGATTTGTTTCTATGTCCTAAATTCATGCTGCTCTGTTGGAGGAGCCTCGGACTTCAGATTGTAATTGCCGTATCTAAACTGAAGCTGCTGTGCTAACGACAATAAAGCCTTGAAACTGGAGGAGACTTCAAGAAACGTCTCAGTTGTAGCTTCACCCGTTAGCTGCATCTCGCTCACAAGTCCCCTAAAGTTCCTCAGACGTAGTGTTTCTTGTCCCCATTGGACCTGATGCTCCAAAGAATTCCCTTCAAAATAAAAGTGGATTTTTACAAAGCATTTCTTATCAAAAAACACCCAAACAAGAAGCTTCTCTATCAGCTTCAACCCTGGTGAAAAAGGGAATTAAAGTAAGTGTGTTAGCTTCATCTCCGCTCCAAAAGACCCCTAAAGTTCCTCAAACGTAGTGCTTCTTGTCCCCGTTGGAGGTGATGCTCTTGGTGGGGGTGTATTTTATGGGATACCCTCCCCTCGCCCCCTGGGAGAAGGAGCAGCACAGCAGCCCCCCCCCCATCAACAATAACGCCGTAGAAGCCCATCCGATATAAATGGCCGCCCCGATTTCCCTCTTTTTCGACGGAGGAATCTGAGGGTTGTGGAAATCCACGATGATGTTGTTGGCCATCCAGCAGAGCGGCACGAGAACAAAGAGCCCGCTGAAGATGTATAAGACCCCCCCGGTGAAAACGATGCGCCCCTTCAGCGCCTCCTCCTGGATGCAGTTGGTACACTGAGCGCCGGCGAGCGTCACCGCTAACGCCAAGACCCCGAAAACAGCCGCGATGACGGTGAGCGCTCGAGCCGTCTGAAGGTCCTGAGACAGAGCCAGCATCTGGGGGAGAAATGGGGAGGGGGAGATTAATTACAGTGTAAAAAAACAGATTATAGTCTAGTTTCCAACTCATATGAGATTACTGAGAGAATAAATGTGCCCATTTTCTGGGTAAAACTGCCATCTTGGACGCCCATTAGCCCCAAAATCACTCCATAATGGTCCAAATTGTCTTCATAGGCTTTAATGCAGGGGTGTCAAACTAAATTTCATCGCGGGCCACATTCGCATAAAGGTTGCACTCAAAGGGCCGGTTGTAACTATATAAATGTACATATATAAATATATAATATATATATAAAATAATGTATTATATTACATTATTGCCTCTGAATTGGATTATTATCGGATAGGATAATAACTTAGTAATTAACTACGTCTGAACGCAGAAGTCCAGGGCTAATCATTGCAAGTCTCTTCAGTGCGCATGTCACAAAACGAGATGCATTGTGGGACATGTAGTTTATGGGCAACCTGCTTCTGTAAAGTGGCATGTAACCGTATATTAAACGTATTATATTCTTTGCAAGCTCTTGCCGGGCCACAGAAAATGAAGTCGCGGGCCGGATTTGGCCCCCGGGCCTTGAGTTTGACACCCCTGCTAATGCAATGTAATGCTAAGTAACGCAACTTTCACATTGCTATTTACCAGCTCAAAGACTTCTATTGTGAACCCGGAAACAACGTGACTACACCAACGTTTTATGATAGAAATGTATAATACGGGTCTCCAGATTCCAGCCCCCCAAAAAAACTAAACAAAAAACAACTGGCGGGCAATTTGCACATTAGCATAAGTTGGGGAAGAAATGGGGAAGGTGAGTTGTGTTACAGTGTAAAAAAATACATCATAGTCTAGTTTCCAGCTCATATGAGACTACTGAGAGTTCAAATGTGCCATTTTGGATGCCCATTAGCCCCAAAAACCAATCAGAAATGGTCCAAATTGTCAGGCTATAATGCTATTTAATGCTAATTAACGCTTGTTGTCACTGTACAGCATTTTACATTACTTATGTGACTGTCTATGTTTCTTGTAGTTATTTAATTGCTCTTTTTACTGACCCTAACCAGCACCTGTAGGGGAAGAAATGGTGAGGGTGAGTTGGATTGCCATGTCTAGTTTCCAGCTCATATCAGCTCACAGAGAGTATAAATATGCACATTGTTTTGGTTAAAATGACCATTATGGGACCTGATAATGTCAGAAATGGATTCAGTATCCCCAATAACCCCAAAAACCACTTCAAATTGTCCAAATTCAAAAGAATATTCATGGACTCTTATCCAATTTAATGCTAATTAACGCATTTTACACAGTGCTATTTGCCAGCTCAGAGTCATATTGTGAACCCGGAAACGTGAGGACCCCAACGTTTTATGATTTAAATGTATAGTATGGGTCTCCAGAACATAGAAACTGTCGTATGCTAACCTGCATATGTTGGGTGATTTGCAAAAGTTGCATTAATTAGCATTAATATACACAATAGCTAAAAAAGCTTGGTCCATTTGGATAATTCTGGAGTGGTTTTGGGGGTTATTGAGGATGCTGAATTGCCATTTCTGACATTATCAGGATCTAGAAACCAGAAAGTGTCCATATTCCTTCTCCCATCGAGCATACATTTGCATTATAGCCTACTAAGACGATTTGGACAATTTGGGAGTGGTTTTTGGGGTTATTGAGGATGCTGAATCTATTTCGAACAATATTAGAATCCAGCAACCAGAAAGTGCCCATATTCCTACTCCCGGTGGGCTTCAGTATCCTCAATAACCCCCAAAAACCACTCAAATAATGTCAGAAAAAAGCCAGATTTGGTAACGGGAAAAAAAGAAAGTGTGCAATACTATTAGGAGTGGTTTGTGGGGGTTATTGAGGATGCTTAATTGCCATTTCTGACTGTATCAGGATCTATAAACCAGAAAGGACCCACATTCCTATGCCTAGTGGGCTTCAGCATCCTCAATAACCGATAAAACCCCACTCCAAAATTGTCCAAATTGTCTTCATGGACTATAATGCAAATTATTGGGGGTTATTGAGGATGCTTAATTGCCATTTCTAACAATATCAGGATCTAGAAACCCATTTTCGTACTCCAGGTGGGCTTCAGCATCCTCAATAACCCCCAAAAACCACTCAAATAATGTCAGAAAAAGCCAGAGTTAGTAACGGGGAAAGGTGTGCAATACTATTAGGAGTGGTTTGTGGGGGTTATTGAGGATGCTTAATTGCCATTTCTAACAATATCAGGGTCTAGAAACCCATATTCGTACTCAATAACTTCCCAAAAATCACTCTTAATATTCTGCAAATCTGGGAAATAGGGAAATAAGGAAGTAGGGAAATATAAAAGAGTGTCCAACGCACCGAGTCGTGTATCTTGCACT